ATTGCCTGAGCCCTTTCCACCACAATGCTGTGTCGAGAGGATGCTACAACAAGTCCTGAGRCTGAAGCATCAGGCTTGGTAGCTTATGGAAAATATGTTAGTGAAATGTGTAAATTAGCTACACAGGGTCCACAGGGTACCCAATATCCAGGGGGGGGGGGGGGGAAATGAGGGCTGAACTTTTGAAAAACAAGTGCAGATGCTAACTTTATATAAATTTTCCTATCTTTTTGAAATGAACCTATAAAAGTAATAAATTAATATCTAGCTGGATTTATTTGCTTTAAATGCCCAAATATGGATAATAGTTAATTGCAATGAGGCCAGGTTACAACAGCTWGGGCGTGAAATCGACAAGCATGCATCATACGATGCGATCAAAAGTTCTACGACGCTCCAGAACCGCTAAGGTAAAATTTATTTGAATTTATTTGATTTTCTGTCTTGCTTGTCATCCAATTTTAGCTTTGAGACGAAAAACAAGCTATTTTAGAATGATATTTCTGACTTTAAATAGYGTTTTCRTGGCGGGAAATTTAAACGTTGATAAAGTTCTCGTGGTTTAGCTTAAGTTATTTTATGTTAAGATTAAAAGAATTCTTTAAATGAAGAATGCATCAGAAATAGAAGTTTCAATTACGAGTTCTCCTTAAAAGCCAAAAATTAAGGTGTATAACTTGGCAAAGGCAAAATACTCGTGTTTAAAGAGTGACTCAACATACACGCCGTACATTTTGTAGCTTATTTATAGTTATTCAAATAAGAGAGATTTGCTTATAAGCTTATTTACCTTTTTCATGTTTAAAAAAATATCGTTTTATTGACTTTTAATTCAATGTATTAAGTCAAGTTATATTTTGTTGTAAGGGTTTGTTTCAATTCTTCGTTTGCAGGTTACGTCACAGCGACCATCTTGGAGGAACTTTAACAAAGGATTTCTCATTAGTATCTATTGTTCATTCCTCCAACATGGCCGCCGGTCTTTTATCTTTTGAATCTCCTGGGAATGGTTGAAAACGATCAATAGTGTTGCATACCAGCTCAAGATGAACCATATATGGTTATATAACCCCTTTGGTAAGTACTTAAGCATAAAATTATCATATTGATCAGCATTGTGGAATCCTATATTTATGTGACCTTATCTATCTGCATTATTAAGTATATTGGTGATCAGGGGCCATAGCAAGATCCAAGGAAAAGGAAACATTTTTGGTGGCAAACCATTTTATTAAGCTGACAAATAATTAACATCATTTTTTCTTATGCATTTTTAGCAGTGACACTGTTGGCAATGAATTAATCACAATTATTTTAATATTTTTAATTTGAACATGCACTACCTGAATTTATGCGGAATGTAGTTGCAGATATGAAAGAGCAGTGATGCAATATTATGGCACACCAGACAAACAGTGGTTGATTGGCCTTAGTACAAAAGTCTTTCATAATTTTCAAAGAACCAGTATCATCCTGGATGCTTTGCGTGCCTCGTAATACTTATTCATATGAAAATATTTTGGAGTGTCGATCAGACTATAGAGATATTGTCAAAATAGCTTTGCTAAGCTTTCAACAAAGTAAGAAATTAGGTCAAGTTTCAAATCTTGCATGGCTAAAGTGAGTGTTCAGAAACAAGTTCTTCTTTTCAAAACAAAGATGAACAATTGCAAAACATCTGGGATGATACTGGTTCTTTAAGTCCAAGGAAGAAATAGAAATAAAAAGATGCAATCACAGCATATCAATGGGTGTGGCTTTTCTTTTTTTTCTTTCGGCAGTGYAATCATTTTATAAGAAGATTGCTTTGTTTGATCATGGTTTAAGATATTAAAACATTGAATCTTGTTCTTCAAAGATACATAATGTACTTTACTTGGTAATTGTCAGTGTCTGGGTGGAGTGAGTAATATGACAGTTATAAACATGATTACAGTATAGAATGGGGACATTCAAGCCTGTGAAATTGATATTATTTCTGCATACCTGTACCTAATATAAGGTAATACCACTATATAAACATACATTGTCTTCTTTTATAATGTGATGTTTCTTGGTCAAACTATAACCTTGGACCATTATTTCACAGGCTGAATGCCRTCACTCTGTTTGTTTCCAATGTGAAGAATGTGTCTGAGTATGAGAGGCAACAGGATAGGATAACCTGTACAGCTTTAATTCCCCTATTTTCTCATTCCCCTTTCCCCAAAAGAGCTGCATAGACTTAGGAAAGGGTGGCAAAAGGTAGTAACCTGGATAAAACTCTTGTACAGATTTTTTGTGTAATATGCATCCATGTATCGATTTGCACTGAATTTTCTTTTGTGGTTTTTTGAATTAATGTCAAAAAAACACTACAAGCAAAAGAGTTTTAGTCTTGGATTAAACTATAAGGACTTTCATCTCGCTGTCTCTGAAAAATATAAGAAGACCATTTGCCACCCTTGCCTATAGGAGATGCTCTCAATGCTCTCCCATGGATAACCACAGCAGGGACAATCATTAAACAAAATGGACTTCAACCTCTGAATAAACAAGGGAAACTGGGGGTGTGAACTGGTTTAATGGTATTGATGAGAATCCACAGGGCTTCACAGTTGATTGCAGGCACCACAAAGCCAGGGGGGACGGGGGATATTTTGAAAACATTGGATTGTGGAGAGAATATGTGAAGCATATATGATGTTATTTTGATTACTTTTGTTGTTTCGGTGTTTTTTGTGTGTGTCTGTCAGAATGAACTGTTGAAGCCTCTGTGGTGACAGGATACTTTAAATCTGATAGCAGACTATAGCTGGCTATACCCGAAATTCAAAAATGTCAATTTTCTCAATTTTGGTGACGAATTTAATATCTTAATCTTAGAATGATGTTTTGGTCACTTCTGGTGTGAATTTAGGGTATAACAGTGAATATTATGGACTTTCTTTTTGACATAGGCGAATTGGCATTGTGTGAGTTGTCCTATTATATTATACTGAAGGAGCTGGTGCGCAAACAAGACTGATATTATTTTTATGTAAGTAATAGTTTGACTGAGATGTTCCAAAAAATATGACTTCAAAAAAATTATCTGCAAAACTTGTATTTCAATAAAACTTCAAAGTTAAACTTCATTTTGGCTTTTAAACATTTAGGAACTTCACTTTACATTTATGGATTAATTCTATCATTTTATTTTTTGCAAAGTTTTAGTGTTCATTGATTGGCAGTTTAAAGGATTATAGATTTTGTGTTATTGTTATGGAGATTAGCTCGTAGTTTATCATTTTTGTTTATTTATTTAGTTTGTTTTTAGTTTATTTGTTTATTATGTGTTTATAGTTTTATATTGCACGCCAGCTTTAGAACCCTGTGAAATTAAAGTCAGTAAATAGATTAACCTGCGAAAGGAAAGAAACATCAGTTAGAATGTGATTTGAACCCTTACCTGCATAGCTTACCTTCTGTTCAGTAGTCTGCTGTCTTGAACACCAAGCCATCTAGTGAATTGCTGGTTCAAACCGCTCAACATCAAAAGTCATTGTTTGAATTCGAATGAATTGTGACCTGCTATAAAGTTAACTTTCGAAGCCTGACCAGCAACTTCGACTAGATGGTTTAGTGGGTTAGTGGTTGGGCTATGAATCAGACGGTTAGGAGTTCAAACCTCGG